CAAGTGATGTTCTGGGGTCTTATTAAGGTATAATATTATAAGAAAAGTGTGTTTGCTTTTAAAACACTTTTTATAGTACAGTTTGAGTTTAAAATCATACAAACCAAAGCTGTGTATTTACCTTGTTGTTGAAGTTTGGAAGGACACACTTGTTGTTGTCCATCTCCTCTGGTGAGAGGGGATGGCGATGAGAGCGAGGGTCCACTCTAAAACAAAGTGTGACTATCCACAGCCTTTTAGCCAAAAACTGTGTAGAGATGTTTGATACCCATAATCAGCTTCAGAGCCATAACTGGGGTAAGTGGAGATATATCCTGCAACTTTGCACAAATGCAAATACCGGTACTGCTGTAAGGGAGCCTCACGAGCTGGAGTTTAGGTCCAGCATTTGACTCAGATTTTTAGGAATCTTACAGGACTCCTTCGGTGAAAACTTGGAAATCCTAATTTCACATGATTTTTCACAGTGGTGGTGCTTCGCCATCTCCTCTCTGCTCCCTTTTTTCCAGCTCCTGGTAAACTCTTAAGATACTGGAGCACCCGGCTAGTCCTCATGAAACAGGAAACAGTGGAGGTATTTCTCGTTGAGGTGCTGAAACCTCACACACACAACTTCCACTTGACTGTGGAAAATGACCAGAACCTTTTGCATACGGTATTTGCTGCCATCTACTGGTCATTTTAGGTCCTATTTTACTGTAATGGGCGTGCTCCCACCAGATATTATCATAGGAGCCCATGAAGACAGTAAAGTAAAAACAAGTGAAACAAACTTGTCTTTCCAGTAGTGTTGTCCCCACTAACCAATCACATCATTTATCTCTGCCAGCAGATGATTTATGAGTGTTTCTGTGTCATATACCCACAAGTCCATTCCAGTTAACTCAAAGTCATTCAGAAGCAGGTTGCCCTTTGTGTTAAATTCTTCTTCTTCTTCTTCTTCTTCTTTTGAAAATTCAAAATGTGCCTCTGCTAGATCATTTACCTCTATGCACTATGCTTATACTTAATCCTGTGCTGTGTACACTGTGCAATAGTGATGGACAGATTATGAGACACTGGGACCGGCATCTGGTCTCCACAAGGGAGACGAATCCCCAGAGTGTTTTGGGTTGAACCCAATGGTTTTGAGTCCCTACAAAAATAGAAAAACAAGTCCACACACAGGAAGATTAGCAGTGGAAGCCAGCATTTGACGGTCAAGTTTATATCAGTTCAAATAGTTTGAAATAAATACTGAGTTTTTGTGCTTTCTAATGCTGTAACATGTGCAAAGGTTTCTGGGATGTGGCTCAGTAACATCAACATTTTCCCCAATACTGTGACTGCAGAGCTGAAGTTCTTATCTGCTGTTATGGCTTATTTGATTTCTAATATCCAGCTACATGTGCAAGTAGAACTGGAATGGTAAATTCAATATGAACAGGCACTGCATATTTTAAACAAACAGGTTATTAACCTCGGTAACATTATGAAGAAAACATATTTGAGCTATTAGTTATTTCAGAGTTTATACAATCAAATTTACCTCCTACATAAGAAAATATTTTCTTTTGTGGTCACAAAAGAATTTGTAATTTGTAACAAAGATGGTATCTTTCCCTTCCAGTGTTCTTTTTTATTAAATTCAAGTTTTATCATCTTAGTCCTCGTTTCATTTTAATATGCTTGCAGTCTAATTAGTTTCAAAGCCAAACACTGGTATCAGTCTGGATCATTAGTCATTTAGATGACAAACTTGCTCTTAATAGAAAAAATATGTCACATGTTGCAAGCTTGTGTGACATTTCAAACATTTTAAACACATGTAAAAATATGTTTTTGTCTTCAGACCATTGCTACATTTGTAAAGTTGTTCCACATCCTCCTCCAGTCCATGAGAACAGATTGAAGCTGAGTTCCTCTTTGCCAAAAACTGTTTAATGATGACTTATTAATTAATTAAACAATAACCTGAGATACTGAAAATTAACTAATTTGCTCTAAGACGGAAGAAATGGTTTGTCATTTGAAATCTAAAATAGAGAATATTATATTGATATCACATTCTAATGAGACACATCTTAGTTTAAAAAAGCCTTTAGTTACAGCTTAAAATTAATTATGTATCAGTGGTTTATTTATGAGTAATAGGCTATTAATAAGAGCATTTTGATTTGATTTATTCTTTCAAACATGTAACAACAGTCAATATGTAACCACACATAATTCCAGACATATCCACAAATATATTTTCAATTTGCTTATACCTAGTACATGCTTGAATTGGAGTAGGAAGAAGTTAGACTTATCTAGTCTTACCCCCTAACATCATCTTATCATCATTGGTTTGTATGTAGTATTACTACATGGATACATATTCTACATCCACACTCCCATCTGATTATCATTAAGCCTGTTCTTGCATATATCTTGATTGACACATACCTTTATATTTATGTTTAAACTCATCAATTTTCTTACTGTTTTTTATGTCCACACTTAAATTATTCCATAGTTTTACCCCACTTATGGAAATACAAAATCTTTTTTTGGTTGTACGTATAGCATGAATTTTATAATTTAACTGACCCCTTAAATTGTATCCCCCTTCCCTTTCATTAAATAGTTTTTGAATTCCACCAGGTAATAAATTGTTCCTGGCTTTATACATAAACACAGACGTCTTATCAGTCAGTTAAAGCAGCAACGTCTATAAAGCCAAAATCCCAAATACTATACAACGTAACAAGCACTTCCCTGCTGC